GCGACCGGTTAAATAACTGTACATGAGATAGCATCGACGAAGGGCCCAGTTCGTTATCCCAACCTTTACACGATGTCTACGTCATTTTGTCCAAGAAGGTGCGCGTTTATAAGTTTGACGGCAGGTAGTTATCTTAACGTGGTTGAGGAGGGGGCAAACAATATTTGCACCGGGGCCAATCACAACCTTGTTACGCCACTGGTCTCACTACTGTATCATACATTGTATAAACAGTATGTTACTGTATATTGTAGCATAAGGAACCTTTATCAGCTCAATATCTTCTCTTCTGAATACTCAATTTTATTTGTATGGCTTTATCTTAAATAATGGTAGCTATTAGTTTCAACCACTCACAAATTATGTTATCTTGTCTATATATATTCCTGAACCTTTATTGTATCATGTTTAATAGTAAAACACTTTTTAATTTTGTTTTTGAAAGAAATCCAACTTCCATCTGCAGGAAAGTTATTTCCAAATGAATTTAAGGTCTGAAAAAGAGGTGGGTGGGAAATGGAAAGAAAGATAAGATATAGTTGATTTATGTTGATAAAAATCAAGAGAGTCAGGGAAATAGGGAGGGGAAGAAAGAGAGGGCCCTTCAGGCAGCAACATGTTGTGAACTTCATGTCCTTCATTAGCGTCATTATCCTCCCCACACAACTACAGTGAACCTTCACAGATCTTTATGATGCCTCTTGTAAAGACTGCGTGGGAATGCAGTTGATTGACATCCTGCTTGTTGCACCTGCTTGAGTGGGAAACCTCACTCCTCTTATAAGTCCCTTGAAGCAAAATCGTGATTTGTGATACTGAGCTGTAGTATAACGATTGGCTTGAGTTTATTTTTAGTACACAGAGTTTACAGAAATCAGAATTAGGAGCTGAGCTTTAATCCCAATTTAGGATTGAAGGGTGTCTAATCAGACAGGGTGCAATCATAGGCGGAGTTTGACATTTGCGCTTGGCAAACCTTTTTTACTGACATCTGTACACATTCCCAACTATTACGTGGGGTGCTACTGATACATTAGCAATAAAGCCAGCGCTCACCGCACTGAGTATGACTTTTCCACATAAGAACACAACTCGTCCCGTCATGCACGCCTCATGCCCGCCGTACACACACACTCATATGAAAGGGGCGGTCTCTCCCCCCAACAACAGTGCATTACATAACTGTAAAACGTATCACAACTGTGCACATCTTATACTTATTTGATAACTATACTTCATTCCTTGGTTACTTGAACACGCTACAATATTATTAACCAGTATCCTACCTTATTAGAATATTGATATACGAAATATGTGAATTGGAACAGTTTTCGACATAGTAATGCTGTAACATATCTCAACCACTAGGGGGGGCAATGCCCCCCCTGCCCCCCGCAAAATCCGCCTATGGGTGCAATAGCCTTCAAGAAAGAGTGTGCAAAGTCCATATGAATGGGGGGATGAAATCCCTTTCAACAAATATATTCTGACCAATTATTAGCTACAGCGGGTATTGCTAGTGGAGCCTCGCAGCGGCGAAATAAGCGCATATACGGTAAAGGTGCGCCACATTTGCGCTTCAGATGCACCCCCCTCCGCGAGGTGAGGCCACACGCAGTCTGCGTGATCTGCGTGTATAGGGAGGGGCGGCCCTGGGCAGGACTGATACAGGCAGATAGACATGTTGCTTATTATACTCAGATTGTTTTGAATCTAAAGCTTCATCCTCTGGGGACAATGAACTTCGGTATACCAAAGTCATGGAAATCCATCGTTTAGATATTTCAATCGGGACCATTGTGGACGACAAAACAGCATATAGCGAAAGTGTGGATAAAATGCTTATGAGAGTGTGGATGTTGAAAACAGAATAAACAGAGGGAGAAAGAATATATTCCAGATTCTAAAACCTTAATTGACACAATTTAGACAGAACAAAACACACAGCAACACCAGAGACAAATCAAAGTGAGAGCGGGCAGACGCGGGACATAAAAACTGAACGATATACCAAAAGCCAAAAACCTGGTGGCGGATAGAAGACAGGATGCGTCAGTTCTCCCCTTTAAAATGGGATGACAGAAAAACATTTTCTTCTCCGCTGTAACAAATGTGATGCAGAAAGAGACCACGTTTTACCCAAATTAATTGAAATATCAAGAGAACGATGCCTCTTCTAACCAAATCAAATTGAAATGCCTCCTGGAAGAGAAAAGCTCTCCAGAGATAGCTAAATATATCAACGCATGCCACACAACCGACGAGAAACACAGTTGAGAAAAACATAAAAAGGTAATTACTGTGATCAACAACATTTTCATAATTAAAACGGTAGAAAAGACTTTGTTATAAGGTTTTGTTACACATGCAACAAACCCTAACCCCCAGACACAAGAGAACACAATACAAAAAACACAGCATAAGTTTGAAAACAAAGTTTGTATTTGTTTGCAATCTGGACCAACCAAATTAAAGCCAAAGATAAAAGAAAAGTATATCAGCCATTTACTTCAAAAACTAAAAGTAAACTTCACAGCAAGTGAAGCATTGAACAGACAAAAGAGAGTTGCAGCACAATACCATCTGGCACAGTGAGCGAGGACAAACAGAGAGAGGCACAGATTGAGTGACCAACCTGGACATTGAGACTGGTGGACACAGACAAACCTGGCAACCCAGAGAAAAAAGACTGACGGTTCTGTCAACAACAGTTTACTACCAGTAGACTACAGTATGTGTGTGTTATAGCCAGTGGTGTTAAGTAGCCAAGTACAATTACTCAAATACTGTACTTAAGTACAATTTTGAGAGACTTGGGTTTTACTTGAGTATTTCCATTGTATGTTACTTTGTCTACTCTACTACAATTCAGAGGTAAATATTGTACTTTTACTCCACTACATGTATTTAAGACAAGCTATATGGACCTTTATTAATCCCTGTGGGGAAATTCAGTAACACACAGTAAACAGGACAGCACAGATTCACACAGATTATACATGATTGTGAAAAGGGTTTATCTGCATAATGAGTAGGCCTACTCTCACTTTTGGTACTTCAAGTATATTTTGACATTTTATATTGTGTACTTTTACTTAAGTAACATTTTGAATACAGGACCTTTATACTTGTAACAGAGTATTCCTACACGGTATATCTAATTTTACTTAAGCACAAGGACCTCGTCCACCCCTGGTTATAGCATACCTTAAATATTTTTTTATTTAGACTAAAATGTATAATTTTTTAACACATTTAAAATTATTTTTATTTTCTAGGCAGTGTGAACCCCTCTCTGTGGGCCCCTCGGTGGAGTCCAGGCTGGGTGTAGCTGCGGCCCTGGGCTCGCAGTGGGAGGGGTTGAAGTGGCTCCTCCATGCTTCTGTAACGGAGACAGTAGACGGCACTGACTCACTGACGATCCACACAGCGCCTTTTAGACCTTACCTGCAGCCTGACGGGAGGAACACCATCCATACACAAAGGAACTTTCCTCTTGTT